GGGCAGCAGTGGGGAGCAGAGGCAGGACCACAACTGCTGATGCCACAGAAAAACAGTGCTGGACTTGAATTTGTAAGACACACTCTGAACAGTCCTCATCGGGTTTCTAAAAAATGATTGCAGGTTTCCAGAAGGCAGAGTAATAAAGGAAATGGCTCCACCTAAAGCTGGTTTCTCAGAAAAACTGCAACAGAAAAAAAACCTCTTCACCACTAGCTTCCCATGCCCTACTTTAGGGGTAAATAAAATGTGCCCGAGTAAGAGCCATGTGATCGGACACTCACGTGTACAGGGCCACAGGAGTTTTTTTGCTGAGAACAATGGAAAGTCAAGAGGGCCATGCTTGTTGTCCAAGTCTCAGACATGAGTCGGCCACAAACAGAGACTTTATTCATATCTTTCTTCCTTACACCAATAAGGCTTCGGAAGGCCCCAGTGTCGTGACATCACTGTAATGGAATTCAGTGTGAACAACTGGAGAGTTCAAAGAACATGAGCTCTGAAGCTGGACAAATCCGCTTCCAGATTTTTATTCTATTTTGTCCTAGTGTGACTCTGGATAAATTACTGGGTTGTTGGAAAAGTTATAATGCATTTTTGCATAAAGAACATAGAAAAAAATATGTCATGACTTTTCCAACAACCCAATACCTCTTACACCCCAGTTTCCTCCCGTGAAAAAGGAGATGACTACCTCCTAGAACGCCTGGTGCTCTCCTCTCATCTGAGTGCCCCCCATGCTGGCCTCTGCCTCTGGGCCAACACCGCCGGCCCCTGCTCAGTGGCTGCAAGAGGTCTTACCCTACTGTCTGCTGGGGTCTGAGCTGAGGATAGACTGTCCCCTGGCCAGAACCAAGTCCACCACTCCCACCTTCTGATGAATGCCGTTTAATGTCCTCAAGTCCCGCTCTCTTGGAGCAGTTCTGCTTCTCCACTATTTCCAATTCATGATTCACCGTCGTTTCTATGACCTCTCATGAGGCATTATACATGGCAGAAAGAATTTCTGGGCTAGAAGCCGCTCCTTTCTGAGCCTTAGGAACAGGATTTTTCTGGTCCTGAATTTCTGCAACCCGTTCACAAATGTTTTAGCCCAGAGGCTTTACAACACCTCCGCCATAAAAGGCTCACCTCTATTCCCCTACTCTCACCCCCCAGCCCCTGCCCGCCAAAGTACAAATATACTGCCCCTATCAGCCCAGATCTACTTTGTGTTTTACGGTCTGAATCATATATATATATATATATATATATATATATATTGTCAAAAGGCTGACTACAATTTTTAACAAGTACTGGTATTATTCAGTTTGTTTGTGTTTTAGTTATACCAATAAAATATATACCCAATAATGAATTTTCAAACTTTCCATTTATCATCTTTGTATTTTACAGTTACTGTAGCAATAAAATTTACACTCAGCAGTATGGTGCAATTTTCCTCTGCTAATAGAATTATTATTTTTGTTTGTGTTTTAAAGCTACAGAGATAAAATTTACCCCCAACAATATGACTGCTTTTGTTTTTAATGTCCCCTTTATTGTAACTGATAAATATAACACTGGAAAACCAGCAAACCACTATGTTCACTGTGCTTCACAGCAAGGTACAGTGGGTGCTGGAGCCAGGCCAGCCCCAGCTGTCACCCATTGAGCAGATCGTCTCCCTCCTCTGAGCCTCAGTTTTCTCTTCACTCAATTGGGAATAACGGCTGCCTCAACTAGCTGCTGTAACACCAAAGGCAATTCGGCAGGGCGAGTGTCAGGCCGGGGCGTAGGACACAGCAGGACCTCACCAACTGTTAGCTCCTCCCTTGATCCTTGCTTTTCATATTGAACCTGAGCTAACAAACAAGGCAGACAGCAAGACCTAAGGAGAAGAAGGGTTGAGAGAAAGTGGTCTAACTAGCCTTCCAGCCAATACCAGAAAGAACCATCTATAAGCACCACTCTCACTACCCTTTTTTCTTTTCTTTTTTTGAGAGGTTTTTGCTGTAGGGAGCGTTGTGTTCACCAGAAAGACAGAGACAGAGAGACAGAAAGAGAGAAATCACCCCTGGGGAGATGGCCACGCAGCAATCCCTTCTCCTCCATTCTCCTCTCAGGATCTTGGGCACGCATGCACACGTGCCCAGCATGAGTTTAAGCCACTGGGTCGAGGACTTGAACCACGGTCGACTACATGGGAGTCCAGCAACATAGCCATTATGCCAACTGCTAGTCCCTCGCTACCCTTTTTAATCCTTAACATTTTCCTTTGATTCTTTCCATTCTAACTATCGTTCTTTAGGGAAAAGTAGGGGCTTTTCTTGAGACAGGTCACATATCCTATCCCAACCCCTGCCCCCATCAAAAGTCATAAACTAGAAAAGGGAGGAGTGGGCTTCATATTAATAAAGATATCTCCCACAGACACTGCTGAGGGCTAAGCAGTTAGGAGTGCAGAGGAAGACGTGCTGAGCAGTGATGTGGACGCTCACTGACAGAACACGGACATGCACTTGTGACGTCTACACATGAGAATAATAAAAGAACATAAGCCTCAGGGCTGGACTGAAGTGAGGGATGTGGTTCCCAGTGCAATTGTGAACTCTCTGGCCAGGAGTGGTGACCTTTCCCTTCTCCAGGCCTACCTAGCCTCCTCTATAAAATATGGGTATAACTTGAGATTTGCTGGGCTCCCAGATAATGATCGAACGCACAGAGACGTGAGAGGGTTTTATAAACTAAAAAGTGCCACACACCTGGGACTCTCATTACACGCCGGAGACGTCTGTGAGGAGACTGACGAGAGCTAGAGGAAGCCATGTGTGATTCACCATGGAGCCTCTACGAAGGGCTAGGCCACGGAAAGCGCATTTGGACTGGGAGGGGATGAGAAGGGGAGATCCGCAGGGCTATGTTAGAGCAGCAAGAACAAGACATTTTTGGATGAGTGCTTGAGACAGAGGGTTGGTGGAAAGGAAGCTAGAGTACTTACATCACAGTGAACTATTTTTTTGAGAGATTTTTGCCATAAGGCATGTGAGCTCACCAGAGAGACAGCAACAGAGAGATAGAAAGCAAGAAATCACCCCCCGGGGGGGATGGCCACACCACAATCCCTTCTCTTCCGCCCTCCTCTCAGGATCTTAGGCACGCACACACTCGCTCCTGGCATGAGTTTCAAGCCACTGGGTCTGGGACTCAAACCACAGTAGACTACGTGGGAGTCCAGCTACGTAACCACTACACCATCTGCTGGGCCCCAGTCATGGTGAACATTCTTAGAGCCCATGATCTTAGCCCTAGACATGGGTCATCCCTGACAGCTCCCTTCCCGCCCATCACCAAGGTGTCTGGATGGTGTTTCCTAAAGGTCTTTTCAACACGCCCACCTCCTCGGTCACTCATCTCTCAACTACTGGACCTGCCTCCAAACTGGCCCTGCTCCCTTCAAGCTCCTCCATGATCCATGTCCCATCAGGTACTGAGCGACCTTTTCAAAAAACTCTGACTCTCACTTGCGTTAAGCCCATGATTGCTCGCTTTCCAGAGGACCTCAGGATAAAGACCAAAACCTCTAGTAATCCAGAATTCTCACATTTCCACAGACTAACCCATCTCCCTCTCCTTGAATGCTTTTTCTCCACCCATTCACCCTGCTAACTGGTACTTACCCCTCAGATCTTACTCCAAACACCAACTCCTCAGGGTCACCTTCCCTGCTATACATCCGCGTCTGTGTCTCTGCTCTCCTGCAGCTGGAGACGCTCACAGCCCCCTTTCTTTTTCTCACAGCTCTTCTCTCAGTTTGTACCTGTACATTTCTGATCACAGGTAGCTCATGGCCTCTCCCGCCCCAGCTGGACTGTAAGCCTCCTGTGTAGATCACCACCGGACCCACAAGGAATCTAGTCCAGTGCAGCACACAGCAGCTATTTAATAATATTTTCTGAATATATTAATAAAGCTGCTTGGGACCAGCAGTTAGCATAATGGCTATGTCGCTGGACTCCCACATAGTCGACCGCGGTTCGCGTCCCGGACCCAGTGGCTTAAAACTCATGCCAGGTGCGTGTGCATGCGTACTCAAGATCTCAAGAGGAGAATGGAGGAGAAGGGACTGTGGCGTGGCCATCCCCCCCTAGAGGGTGATTTCTCACTTTCTGTCTCTTTGTCTCTGTCTGACAAGCAAACGTGCCCTATAGCAAAAACCTCTTAAGAAAAATAATAAAAATAAATAAAGCTGCTCACACCAAAGAGCCTCACACATCCATCTGGGTGGCATGTCTGAGAAATATACACATGCAAGCTGGTCCACAGTCCCCCAAACACTCAGGCCTGGGCACTGCTACCAAGGAGTGCACGGTGTGAGTAGGGGTTTCCATGTGTAAGTGCTTAGCTGAAAACCAGTCCTGGCCCAAATCTACAGCAGACAGGGACTGAGTACGAACCAGATCAAATCCCTCTACTGACCTTCAGGCTCAGGCTCAGTAAAGCAGATCTGCCTCTCTGCCTAGAGAATGATGTGCTTCCAAAAGTAAAGCAACAGAAATGTGTTGATCTGGTCATATTTATGAACTCATTCTCTCGTTCAGAAAATGCCAGGCTCCGTAGAAGTCCACTGTAGCTCCGGGAAGAAGCCTGGTTCTGAAAACCCCAGTCTGAGCAGTGCCCGCAGCAGGCCAGCTGTCAGTCGCTGGGCCCTATGGCAGTGGAAGGGATGGTCCTGACCTGGCCCTGGGCAGTACAGCAGTGCCCCAAGCCAAAGGCCCCGTGCTCCCTCCTCATACTCAGCAGGAGCTCTGCTGCCATGATAAATTAAGTATTTCCACAGAAGGTTTCAGCTGGATCCTCAGTGGGGCAGCCCTGCGAAGTCTTTCTCCACTCTCATGGAGAAAACTGAGCACTTTGGAGCCCATACTTCACCAGTCTCTGATGAACTCTCAGAGAAAGGGGGGCCTCTTTTTAGGTCCTCAGTGTGAGGCACAAGTAATTACATAATAAATGTCTATGAATGAGAGAATAACCAGCTGATTCATAGACTAGATTCTCTCAACTATGCCTGTTGCTCAATGAATGTCTGAATAAATGAATCAATGAAAATACTAGTTTTCAAATGTGTTTTAAACAGCAGAACCCCTTTTAAGCAAAATGTCATAAGGGTCCCTAGTATATCTAACAGATTAAAGAATACAACTACCCCACCCTCTGTCTCCCTGGTTCACCCACCAGGACCCCTTCACATCCTCTAGGCTTTTACAGCAATGAGAAAAGAGTGAACTTCTGAGAAAAAGTAACACAGGTAAATATATCGTGAACATACCGCTGAGGAAAGAAGCCAGACACAGAAGAGAATACAGTGTGTAATTTCACTCACAGAAAGCTCAAAAACAGGTAGAACTAAGCAACTATGTTAACAGTGGTCAGAACGATGGTTATCTTCTGGGGAGAAGGGAATGTCGTGAGAGCACAAAGTGGGCATCGAGGGGCTGGTGACTTGCTGTTTCCTGATCCCGACGGTGGCTCCATGGGTGCGTTTGCTTCATGAAAATACAATGTGCTGTATACCGAAGATCTGTTCATTTTTCTATTAAATATGCTATACTTTAAAAACTTGTTGCAAAATAAGTAATTAAATAAAAACGAAAATCTCCTTGGGGGTCCTGAGATCCCAGCTGGAGAACAATGGCCTAGAGAAACTTAAGGTTCTGTTTTGCCGGCCAACCCAGCACCCACATCAGATGCCCCGGGTGATCTGCAAGCTTTTGACAGGATGACAGGTACTCACGAGGCTTTGATGAGCAGCTGCTCTCTTTCCTGGAGCTCTCGCTTCAGACTTTCTACTTCCACCTTGAGTTCGATGTTCTTCCAGATGAGATTAGGAAAGAAAAGAAACAGTGTGAAATACAGGACCTATGAGCACGGAGGTGGGAAAACCGCTTCCAGCGCGGACTAATGATGCGATGCTTGTATGAGGCAGATGTTAGATTCAAAAACCTCATTAGCCTCAGGGCACAGGGAAAAGGGGAATTATTAAACACTGGTGGTCTCAAAAGAAAGCCCAGGATTTCTCAATACTTGGAACAATTATGTAAATGTTCCAAGCTTCTAACAGCCAGAACATTCAAATATCGAGGCATAAATGTCATACAAGGGAGGCTGATTTAAAAATTGTTTGCCCTCCGCCAAGCAAATTTACAAGCAATTCTGCAGTGTGCTTTCACCATTCCAAGGCAATTACTTCTGGTTGTTTACAATCATGCATGTGGTGGCTGTAGCAGTGGGAACGTGGTACAGCTTAAAAAAAATAAAACATGTGGACGGGTAAGTGGAAGGCCACACCACGGCCTATCTCATTTCAGTGCAAGATTTCAGGGTACTCACTTACAAAAAAGCCACAACTGCATGGGGCAAGCTGTCTGTAAGGGACACCACAGTGTTCTCCAACTGGTTGCCTCAACTGACTAGAACAAAGGGAGGCACACATGGCCTTGGGCTCACAGCTCACGTGAGAATTCAAAGACAGAATCTTTAGCAAATGGAAAGCAGCATGAGACAGTGGGGCAGTGGTGAGCTTCTCAAACTTTGCAATGTCTCCCAGATGGAATATTAGATTAATTCGTGTAGCAGAGATAGGGGGTCTGGGTGCATAGTTTGCAGGGGAGTGCTGTTAATCCAGGATTTCTCAGGAATCTCACTCCTGTTTTACTTAATAATTCAGTTTATACTGATTTTACATTCTACTCCATAACACACGTGGACTATTTTAGATATAAACAACATCTCCAATATAATTTACTATCTCAGAGGAGTGCCTCCCTCCTTCCAGCCTTGCAGCCCTGGGAGAATAAGTACCCCATGTTTAGAAGTACAGCCAAAATGAACAGGCACAGGCACGGGACAGGAAGCAGATGGATTTAAAATCGGCCTCTCCTCTTTACCAGGAGGTAGTGGATGTTCTCGATTCACTCCTTCACTTCACAGACACTTACCAAGCCCCTGTGACAAGCCTGGCCCTAAGACAGTGGATAAACATGACAGACACAGGCTCCGCCTTCAGGCCAGCATGGATATGAAACTGGAAGTGTGACCCTGTAACTGTCCTTAGAAGCAGGAGTCCAGAGGGTGAGAAAGCAATGCTCCTCATTCAGGTCTCTCAAGTATCAAGTGAAAAACCTAAAGCCCACATCGCCTCAGGGATTTGTGGACTAAATGAGCAAGCAAAGGAGAAAAGCCTACGAGACAAGGTCCCAAAGAGATTACTGTCTTCACTGCCAAACATCAGGGACTAAAGAAGTCCTTTATGAAGCAAAGCTTTATAGAAGAATCTGATCAGCAGGCGGAAGTCGCTGGACTCTCACATGGCTGACTGTGGTTTGAGTTCCAGACCTAGCAGCTTACTTTCTCACATTCCCTTTTTTACTCTCTGGTCAAATTAAAGGTAATAATGATAATAATAAAATAAATATTCTTAAAAAAAAAAAAGAATCTGATCTTTGCAAAAAGGACACATAATAATAAAATAAATATTCTTAAAAAAAAATAATAAAAATCTGATCTTTGCACAAAGGACAGTGAGTGGCAGTGTATAGTGTCGACTGCGGTTTGGTGAAAACTGCAGAAATATCCTTCAAATAGAGGATTCCTTTTCCAGCTTCTAGAAGGGCAGAGAGCATCTATGATTCAGCTGATAGGATATATCATACCCTCAGTGCTTTCCTTTCTGATGAACCGACTGGCACCCAGCCTGATAAATTTGAAAGACTGGCTAGTTGACAAGTCCGTAAGCCTTTTTTTCAAGCCTAATATCTCAGGTCATAAAGTTATACACATGGTAATCGTAAGGTCCAAACCAAAAGTCAGGACTTTCTAAGCGTGAAATGGAATATTACGAAACTATAAGAAAGAATGAAGAAGTTCTTCAATTACTATTAAGGAAAGATATAAGACAAATACAGGGGCAAGATAAAACACATTTGCATATATGTAAAACAGAGGCTTATACACACATATATGCTTAGATGAATAGAACAAGCTCATTTATGTAAAAAGGCTTTTACACATATCCGCCTTTATATAAAATTCCTCTGCATAAGGTATAAATAATATTGGTTAGATCCAGGAGACTAGGAGACAAGGGTGGAAGAAAGGTAAACCTTTTACACATTTTATATTCTGAACCATGTGTACCTATACAAATACTTAAATTCAAAGAAAAGGGCAATGAAAGCAGGCCATCCAGCCAGACGATGAAAAGAGTAGCTGAGGGGCCAGCAGATGGCGTAGCAGTTATGTCACTAGACTCCCACATGGGCCACCATGGTTCAAGTCCCAGACCTGGTGGCTTGAAACTCACGCTAGGTACATGTGCATGTGTGTCCAAGATCTGGGGAGGAGAATAGAGGAGAAGGGATTGCAGCATGGCCCTCTCCCAGGGAGGTGATTGCTCACTTTCCCTCGGTCTCTGTTTCTCTCTCTTTCCCCGGTGAGTACAAATGCCCGAAGGTGAAAACCTCTACTAAGAAAGAAAACAGTAGCTGAAGCAGGACAGTGCAAGGAGGTAAGAAGACCTAGACTCGAGGGAACCAGCAGTTAGCGTAATGGCTATGTCACTGGACTCCCACGTAGTCGACCGCGGTTCGCGTCCCGGACCCGGTGGCTTAAAACTCACGCCGGGCACGTGTGCATACGTGCCCAAGATCCCGAGAGGAGAATGGAGGAGAAGGGATTGCGGCGTGACCATCCCCCCTGGGGGGTGATTTCTCGCTTTCTGTCTCTATGTCTCTCTCTGTCTGTCTGGCGAGCGCACACGCCCTATAGCGAAAAAACCTCTCCCTCCCCCCTACTGTTAACTTTTGATGTAGTATTTCATCTTTTCTGTGTGTTTATTTGACCACAAAACTGAGGTCATTCTGTAAACTTGCACGCCACTGTTCAAAGAAACAACAAGCCACTGCATGGCCATCTCCCATGCCATCAAACATGCCCCGAACATGCCACTTCAGCTCATTTTATTGGTGGCAGAGACCACATGTGCTAACACGAGAGACAGGCAGACAGCACTGCCGATGACGTCGTCGTGCACAGCCCCCTTTCCGCAGCCCCGCAGCCCCGCAGCCTGCCAGGATCTTGGGTGCAGACACCTGCCTGGTGTGTTCTCAGGCCGAGCCAGGGCTCCAAACCACAGCTGGCCACGCGGCTTCCAGCTCTGCAGTTCGGTTCGCTGACGGCAGCACCGGGCTGGGCTGAAGCGGGTGTGTGGGCACCAGATACTCCACCGTATAGATCTTGTCATCATTTATTTAACTGGACCCTGAATATTGCATTATCTAGGTTGTTTCCCTTGTCTTCATTTAGAAACGGGCTATGACAGTTGTCTAGTTCCTAAGATGCAGTCTACTGCTGTGACAAGAGCTTTGGGGTAGTCACAGAAATGAATGGCGAGGGGCAAATGTCAAGAACCTTTCCAGGGGAGCGGTTGAGCCCTCCTTCTGAAAATGTGCACGTGCTCACATCCAGGCCAGGAGGGCGTGCCTGCTCCCTGCGCCCCAACTGACAGGAGACCTCTTCTTTTTCTCTTTTGTTCTTTCTCTTTTGTTCTTTCTCTTTTTTCTTTTCTTTTCTTTCTTCTTTTTCTTTTCTTTTCTTTTCTTTCTTCTTTCTTTTCTTTCTTTCTTTCTTTCTTTCTTTCTTTCTTTCTTTCTTTCTTTCTTTCTTTCTTCTTCCTTTCTTTCTTTCTTTCTTTCTTTCTTTCTTTCTTTCTTTCTTTCTTTCTTTCTTTCTTTCTTTCTT